AGATGTCATCGTTATAACACTAGCGACGCTGAACCCGTCGTTATAACAATAATGATTTAGTTGAAAATGGCAGTGTATCACCTACGGTTGTCGCTGCCATTTTGACAGGGACGGTCTTATCTTTAAAGGAAATGGGAGCTCATGCGGTTGAATATTATTAGTTTTAGTAATCGCAGTAGTAATAACAGTACTTATGGATCTGTCCACATACACACAAGCAGACGCCACACACAATTAACTGGATAAAGCATCAATTTCAATTCAAATATTGATCGTTAAAAATGATCATATTGTTTAGATAGGGAAAGAGGGCGAAGTGTGGGAAGTAGTCAGGCCTCTACTGACTGCTGAGACACACCCATGACGCGGATGCCTGAAGTGCCAGAACTGCTCCCAAGCAGCCGTGCTGACTGACTCCAAATTTGATCGCGTCACCAGAGCAAACCAGGATTCAGAGGTAGAACAGATCGGCATCCACATCCTCGGTCTCTGCGTGTTCCTGTTCCACTTTCTGCGTCTGGTGACTTTCTGGTGGGCATGAACGCTCCACAATACGACGTCCCCGATGCCATCTGGGCGGTTCTCGAGCCTTCTCAACGGCCCGTCGAAGACGTGCTTCGTGGGCCAGTGCCTCCTGCTGTTTCTGTCGTTGACGCGCCAGAAAGCGATTGTGCTCATCCACAATCTTCTTGGCCTTGATGACTCGAGCACGGCTGTAACCAGACAGAGTGCGTGACAAGTCGTCAATTGTGACCTCCAGCACCTTAAGCATCATCAGAGTGTCTAGCCGAGCTCCACTCTCCGAGGCGAAGACCTTGTTGTACACCTTGTGTATCTGGTCATGCAAGATCTCCAGCATCTCACCCACCGTCGGTTTTGGTTCCTCCTTGTCATTTGGGCCACCTTTGCGATTACTTCGCTCTTCACGCATCCAGGGCATCTCGAACTGGTCGATGCCACCCAGGTGAAATATCTTTTCATAGCGTTCCAGCAGATTGAACTCATTGATGGCGTCCTTGGCTTCAACGATATCCGTGACGTCACGTTTGAGGTTGTCGATTTCCTCCTTCTCGCGGCTGATGTGGGCATCAACAGTGTTCCGCTCCATGTTGAGAATCTTCTGCAGCCGCGCTGCTTTTACCCTCACGCGTTCACAGGCCTCCTCCTGTTCCTGGACGTTTTCAATTAGAGTTAGATTGTTGGATTCCAGTTCGGCCAAAATGTCTACCAGGTCCTGGGGACTTTTGAAGAAGGCATTCACCGAGAGAGAGTCAGTCACATCCTCAGAATTGCCGTCCTTTAACCAAGACACTGGAGTCGCTGTCTCAGTTTCAGTT